AGGAATGCCAACTTTGAGCTCCCTAGAGAGCAAGACACGGGCAAAGAAGTTCACAGGTGCCTTCGCGGAACGGCTGGAAACAGTACTGAAGCTGTGAAAGCCCAAGTCCCTACTTAATCCAAAAATCCACTCCAGTGACATTTTTGGCACTAACAAGTCTATTTTTAAAACCACAAACATGCTTAATCCTCGTGTGATAGACACACAAGTAAAATAATGCTAGTAAACTCTGTAAAACAAAAAGGTGTAGCATTTTGAATAACAATAGGACTCAACAGGTGAATACGCTAACTTGGAGATAAGGCTGATTTCTAAGCTCCTGTGCAAATTTGAGCAACTTTCCAAATGAGAGATAGATAAAATTACTAAAAAATAAACTAGCTATACTGACATAGGAGTCACAAGTACACGGAACTATTGCATATTTAACTATGGTCACTACTGCTACAATTATAGCTCCTACTGTTACCCCGTTTTTCGTTATCCATTCCAAAAGGGTTTTTTTCTCGTTTTTTCTTCTCCTTTAATTTTTGCCAGCACTAAAAAATACTTCCAGAGATATAGATTAATATTATTTGAAACCCCAAGAGAAAATCTGGGGGGGAGGGGGGGAAGAACCTATTGTATAGAAAAAGCTTTCTAGGCATAGACGTGTAAGTTTGAGAATCTATTTTTTAAACTTTTTATTATACAGAGGTAGAAATACTATTCTAAACCCCATACGGCCATCAGCCTCTGCTTTAATAATCAGCAACTCAGAGCTGACCTTGTTTCATCAATGGACCCATCCTCACCCCCAAAACCAGATTGTTTGGAAGCAGATCCCAGATCTCATAAAACTTCATCTGTAAATATTCAAATAAAACAAATTTGTTTAAGTTTCAACAAAGCAGATTATTATAAGACCCTACTGTCAAGCACAAGTCCTCTCTAAGAGGGCATATTAACCTTACCTTTGCCTCATTAATGGAATATTAATGCAATTAGCAGCAGCTACCGCAGCGAAGGGAACAAAGCGTCCTATGAGCGGAGAGACATGCTGCAGAAAAGATAATTCCAAAAGCAAGATCTTATTTTTCCTGTAGTACTGAACACAAGTACTTATTTCTTCTTGAAAACCTCTACAAATGCAGAGTCCTATTTGTATAGAAACTTGGGCCAAGAGTACGTTCAAAACTTGGTTTCCTAGAGGTACGTTTCTATTTCCAGCCTGGGCATACTGCGACAAGGCAGACTTTCAAGATATTCTGATGGCTTTATGTGGCTGATGGAGCAGGGGCTTTGGAGTCCCACAGTCTTGGGTTCAGATGCTGACCCCTCTACCTCTTCAGGGGAGTGCCTGGAGGTACCCAGCCCGGCACCCAGCCTCTGGTGGGCTGTATGGGTGGGTGAGCATTTAGCATTGAATACACAGTGCCAGGTACAGACCAGGGTCTTGGCAGATGTTATCAGTGACACTCCTTCCCAAACGTACTGAAAGATATACTTTAAGAAAGCAGTCGAAGATAATGACTATAATAAGAGACTCATAGGACTTGAACTATTTTGAGAAATTAACAGAGAGACTTAGAGCCAGGCAGGTGAGAACAAATTAAGAAGCTTTACTGCTATGGAAATAAAAATCTGAGTACCTTGGTTAATGCATTGAGTCCTAGAGCTGTTGCTACAGCACCTGTTGTTGCAGAAACATAAGCTGTTCCCAATTCACTGAAAAGAAGGAAAATGGTACATAAACAACAAGCGTACGTCAGAAAACTCAAGCCCAACATTTTTGGAAGAAATCAAGATTAAGACTAGAGATTCCGTAAAACATGACACAAATGAACTTATCTAAGAAACAGAAACAGGCTCACAGACATAGAGAACAGACTTGTGGTTGCCAAGGGGGAGCGGGGTAGGGGAGGGATGGATTGGGAGTTTGGGGATGGCAGATGCAAACTATTATATATAGAATGGATAAACAACAAGGTCCTACTGTATAGCACAGGGAACTCTACTCAACATCCTGTGATAAGCCATAATGGAAAATAATATGAAAAAGAATGTATATATGTGTAACTGAATCACTTTGCTGTACAGCAGAAATTAACACAACATTATAAATCAACTATATTTCCATAAAATAAATTAGAAAAAGGAGATCCCACAAAACAACGTTCGTCATCACTCTACAAGTAGAGATATTCAGAGAAAAAGCAAGCAGACCCACACAAAAATGGCATTCTTCACATAAAACCTAACTACCACGCCAAACGAGCAGACATAGAGAATACGTATGTGTGGTGGTGGGGGATAAAGGAAGCAGGGACTGTGCAGGAAGCTACCAATGTGGGAAAATGCACATTAGCTTAAATGTTTGTAGCATATTTGCTTAAACAAAAAAAATACTTCTCAAAATATCACTAAACATACTGAAAGTAAAAATGCAGTGCTGCCATTCTAAAAGTGACATCTTATGGTATAAAAATACTAAAAGTCTCATCCTCAAAATACAATTAAGCCCAAGCAGTTCTCTCTTATTTTAAAATAAATTTTAATTCAAGGATTGGATGAAATGAAGGTGTGACCAGCACTGCTGGGTTGCAGATTTCAATATTCTTTGTTCCCTAGGATGGTAATAGAAGACTACAGATGGTCAAAAGCAATTTGAGTTAAAACAAAAAAGAAAATGCTTTGAAGTGTTACTAAGTTAGGTTCAAAGTTTTGGTTAACTAATCACTTTAGCCTAACTGAACATCTTTTCGCAGGAGGCAAAATTTTAAATCCATTCACTTTCTTTTGGGTTCTGGAGGCGTCCTATTTTAAAGACAAATCAGATACAAAATTCCTCTGAATTTCTGCAGAGATCACACTGTTGATTCTGCTACTTTTGATGTTGGTATCTGTCTACACCCACAGGGTGGATGGGGGTACGGTGTGTCATTTCACACAGGCCAGCCCTGAGCTGCCTGCTGTGTGTTCTGCGGGGGCGAGGGGGGGATGTGCCCTAGGGTGTGGGAGCCATGTCCTCCTACCAGAGCCACTAACAGCATGGATGATGTCTGGAAAGGCAGGCTGCAATAAACCGTTACCTACATAGAAAGGGAGGAAAAGAAACACTACTGAAAAATATGCTCCCCAGGATTCCAAACCATATAAACAATTTGTACGAATATAATTTTTTAACCAGGAGAGCATCACCAGTGAATCAAATGAACCCCAGAGAAGTGCAGAGGACAGTTAAATCTTCCAGTCTTACTTTACAGTGAGGGGAGCATCTCCACTTCTGTTGGTGTAATTGACCACGGCATTGAAGGACTGGTTGATCCACTGCCAGAACAGCACTGCCGGTGTGGTCCTGAAACAGAACGATCCATCACATACCCACCAGCACTTGTGAACTAGCCGCCATGCAGAATGGACAACGTGAGCATCAGTAACCAGAGAGGAGATGAACTGGAGAAGGGAGAACGCTGGGTCCAGGACTGTGTGTTCTGGGTCAAAGGCCGAGGACCGGTGTGGCTGGGAAGATTCTTATCTTGTCTGATTCTCAGTTTCCTCATTCGTTAGATATGGATAGCAACAAACTCAGAGGGTTAGGGTGAGGATGGAGCTAACTTATTTAAATTTTATCTTAAATTTGTAAGGGAGCCCAGCAAAGAGTAGGCACTCAATTAATGTGATTAATGTCAGGTCCCTTCTCTTAGGGAAAAAAGCCATTTGTAGGCTATTTCTGGTCCCTCCTCACTACATGTATAAGCCTATCTGTCTACACCTACACCTATACTTATACCTATATCATATGAATGGATTAAACAGAATCTGCTTAGAGGATCTTTTTATTTTCTTTCTCATTTTCTTTTGGGTCTAAGATTTAGGGAGAAATTCAACCTCCTTTTGGGCAACAAGGAGAGTTCTACTCAACAGAGGGAAAAGATAAAACAACCCCCTAGAGTTGCAACATTTATACAAAATGAAACTCCACATGAAATGACATTTATTTTGATAAAACCACTCACATAAAAAAATGTACTTTAAGCTTCTGGAATATAAAGCAAACAAACTGTCGTTACATTGCCAGAACTCACCTATAGAATGTCATCATACAACCTGTGATGGTCATGTTCATTGGAACCTGAGCTGACATCCTTCCTATCAAAATCATCTTTTCACCAGTGTCGGGATGAAAAGCTGAATCATAGATGTACTTTGCTCTCCATAACTCATTTTCTGTGAGACCCGGAGGAACAATTCCTTGCCTAGGAAAACAGCAACAAATAACATGGCAATTGTTCATTCCAAATATCTCACCAGTGCTCTAGAGACATGTAGCTAGAATGTTCTGGAGTTTATGTTTACCTAGAACATCTGTGCCTGGATGGAGTGACAAATCTAACTATTACAGAGTCAGGGAAATTCTAATAACACAAAAGACAATAAACACTTAAAATGAGCATGTCAAACCCATAAACCTCAAATTGCCTATAATTTGGAAAAACAAAAGCATCTTGTAAAATAGGAAAGTATTCAACTTTGAAATATTCTTTGTTTTAAATGACATTTAAAAATGTACTTTGAACTCTGTAAATGCTAAGATATTTTTAACTCATTAGACAAAAGCTGTAGCAATCAAGAATGTGAATTCATTTTTAAACCTATAGTTTGAAAACCTAGATAAGAAAGGCTCACTGTTTTTGCTCTTTATCAAAGAAACACATATTCATTGCAAAAAATTTAGAAAATACAGGAATTCATTAACACAATTAAAATCATTCAAGCCTTTCCCAACTTAGCACCACTGGCAGTGCTTTGGTAAATGCCCTTTCAGGCTTTTATTGGATCTATTATACATGATATTTTTATTTAAAGGCATTGTATCAAATCACCTTTTTTATTCAATAATATTTTGTAAACATTTCTCTATACCTTTAGATATTCTTCTATATCATCTGTACTGGGTTGAATAGTGTCCCCCCTAAAATTCTTGTCCACCTGGAACCTCAAAATGTGACCTTATTTATAAACAGGGTCTTTGCAGATGTAATTACATAGTTAAGATGAGGTCATGCTGGATTGGCGGGGGCAGGAGGGAGCAAATCAAATGACTGATGCCCTTATACGACCAAGTGCAGCCACACAAAGAAGGACATGTGATGACAGAGGCAGAGATTTGAGTGACGTAGTTACAAGCCTAGGGCCACCAGAAGCTATAAGAGGAAAGGAGGGATTCTGCCCTAGAGCCGTCAGAGGGAGCAGGGCCCTGACAACACCTTGATTTCAGACTTCTAGAGTCTGGAACTGTGAGAGAATAAATTTCTCTGTTGAATTAAGCCACTCAGTTTGTGGTAATGTGTTATGGCAGACTTAGAAATTATACCAATCCCCTACTGTTGGACATTTTAATTGCTTTTAACCTTTTCCATTGGTAAGGGATAAGGAAGTAAATATCCTTATAAATAAAACTTTTTCCCCATCCAAGATTATTTAGAAAGAAATGAGTACATTTGCTGAGACAAAAGCTATGTAAAATATTAAAACTGTAAATATATCTTTTATCCTTTTTCTCTACTTGAGTATGTCTTTTTTTTTTTTTTTTTAATCCTCAGCAGCAGTAGCATCATTATTATTTAGGTAACCTGTTGTATTCTTTATACAATGTGGATAACTTTGTTTAGTTATGTTATCTGCCACCCTGAAAATTTTTATTATTATGCAGTCAGGTAGGAACAAATGAAGTTTCTGCCTAGAAAGGCGTGACCCACTTCAAGATTATAGGTATGTTCACCTATATACTTCTTTGCATTTTCCTAATAGTTTTTTCTTTTTTTTGGTCACAGTTTTAATCGATTTGAAATTTATCTTAAGATATGAATATGTGAAATTGCTTAATTTTAGATTCCAGTTGGCTGGTCTGCCCTTCCAATACCAAGATTTCAATGCTATATTTACCATCATGAACTTTTGTGAATGTTAGGCTTGATTTCTGGACCTTCTACAGTGTGCCCATCATCTACACCTCATGCTGCCAAACCCACCATTTTAACTGAGGGTCCATTTTAATATCTGGTAGAGCAACGGTCCTTCACTCCACTACTCTTCGTCTGCTTTTTCAAAAGTGCCTTAGTTACACACAGTAATTTGTTCTTCCAGGTAACTCTTAGAATTATTTTGTTAATTTTATAGGGGATCGCAATTGTATTTTGACCAAAACTATATTAAGCTGAAGAGAACTGCTATCTCTACAGCAGTAAGACTTTCTATCCAGGTCTACCACATATTTCTCCAGTTACTCAAAGGCATCTTTTAATGTCGCCCAGTGGTCTGTACTTGCCTCCTACTTCTGGGTAAGTTAATTCCCAGGTATTTAATTTATATATATATATATATATATATATATCCCCAGTCTATAGGTCAGAATCATTATTACAGTTTCAATTTTAAACAGATACCATATATAAATATATCATTTGACCTTAATTAGCATTAAGAGTTTTGGTACCACATTTTAGAACATCATGGAATAGCAATAGGCAAAGGTACCTATTCCTAACATTGATATATACATTTTCTTCTACTATTCCTCTTCTCACCTCTATATACTTAATCCAGAAAGTGTTATTCCTCAAATATTAGTGGAAAAGGAATGCCATATTTAATTTATATATATATATATATATATATATATATATATAGTTCTTAGGAATGAAATTGAAAAATACTGTCTAATAGAAAACAAACCTACAAGTTACCAAAGGGGAAAGCATATCTTTTTGTGTTCTACGTTCCCATAACATAAAAAAAAATTAAATCTCTTTATTAAGGTATCATTTAAATATTATAAAAGTCATTCATTTAAGTATATAATCTGATGAGTTTTGAAAAATGTACACGGTGGTGTAACCACCTTCAGAATCATGGTATAGAATATTTTCATCTCCCCAAAAGTTCCCTCAGGCCCCTTAGAAGTCATTCCCCCACTTCCTGGCAACCACAGATGTGCTTTCTACCACTACAGTATTGCCTCTTTGAGAATTTCACATGAACGGAATCATATGAGTGAGTAGCATTATGTGTCTGGTTTCTTCAACTTTGCATAGTGCTTTCAGATGCATCTTTGTTATATCAGTGACCGGTTAATTGCTGAGTGGTACTCCATTGAATGAATGAACCACAGGTATTTATCAATTCTCTTTTTAGCCATTCTAGTAGGTATAAAATGGTATCTCATTGTGGTTTTTGTTTTGTTTTTCATTTTTAGACTTCCCAATGTATACTCTTTTCTTCCAGTTTTGTTGAGATATAGTTGACATATAGCACTAAGTTGAACGCATCCAGCATAGTGACTTGACTTACATACATCATGAAATGATCAGCACAATAGTTTAGTGAACATTCATCATCTCATACAGATACAAAATTAAAGACATAGAAAAAAATATTTGTCCTGCTGATGAGAACTCAGACTTTACTCTCGTAACCACTTTCATATATAACGTACAGCAGTGTTAATTCTATTTACCATGTTGTACATCACATCCCAAGTACTTATTTATTTTATAATGAAGTTTATACCTTCTGACTGCCTTCAGCCAATTCCCCCTCTCCCAACCCCCGCCTCTGGTAACCACAAATCCGATCTCTTTTTCTATGAGTTTGTCTGTCTCCTTGTTTGTTTTTGAAGTATAATTGACCTACAACACTATGTTAGTTCCTGGTACACAACATAGTGATTCGGCACTTCTGTACATTTCAAAATGATCACCACGATAAGTCTAGTTACCATCTGTCACCTTACAAAGATATTAAAATTATAGTTATTGACATATCTCCACCCTGTACTGTGCCTCATGTATACCTGTGACTCATTTATTTTGTAATTGGGAGTTTGAACCTCTTAATCTCCCTCACCAATTTCTCTCCTCCCCCCCAACCCCCTTTCCGATGGCAACCACCTGTTTGTTCTCCGTATCTATGAGTTTGTTTTTGTTTTATGTTCATTTGTTTTATTTTTTAGATTCTACATATAAGTAAAATCATATAGTATTTGTCTTTCGCTGTCTGACTTATTTTCACTTAGCATAATACACACAAGTCCATCCGTGTTGTTGGAAATGACAAGATTTCACTCTTTTTTACAGCTGAGTAATAGATGTTTTACATATCTAGATATACCACATCTTCTTATCCATTCATCTAATTGATTGGCACTTACGTTGCTTCTATATCTTGGCTATTGTAAATAAAGCTGTAATAAACACAGGGGTACATATATCTTTTTCTAATTAGTGTTTTTGTTTTCTTTGAATAAATACCCAGGAATGGAATTGCTGGATCGTATGGTAGTTTTATTTTTAATTTTTAAAGAAACCTCCATACTATTTTCCATAGGTGGCTGCACCAATTTACATTCCCACTAAAAGGGCAGAAGGGTTCCCTTTTCTCCACATCCTCGCCAACAGTTGTTATTTGTTGCCTTTTTGATTCTGACAGGTGTGAGATGATATTTCATTGTGGTTTTAATTTGCATTTCCCTAGCAACTAATGATGCTCAGCATCTTTCCATATGCTTACTTGATACTTTTATATTTTCTTTGGTTTAGTGTCATCAGCTTATTCAGATCTTTTGACCATTTAAACAAATTGTGTTGGAATGAAAAGAATTCTTTCTCTCTTCTGGACATAAGTCCTTTACGAGCTATAGGTTTTGCAAATATTTTCTTCCAGTCTGTGAACTGCATTTTTGTTTTCTAAACAGTGTCTTACGAAGTGGAGAGACATATCTTTTCCCTTATTCTTCATGCTTATGTCTTATCTAAGAAACCTTTGCCTATCCCAAAGTCATACAGATTTTATCTTGCTTTCTTCTAGAAGTTTTACAGTGTTAGCTTGCATATTTAGGTCTATCAGCCATTTCAAGTTATGTTTATGATTTTGTTTAAAGATTAATACTCTTTTTTTATGTGGAAATCCATTTTTTCCAGAACCGCTCACTGAACAGAATATTCTTTCTCTATTGAATTATCCAGACATCTTTATTTAAAAATCAATTGACTATATATGTTTGAGTCTATTTTAGGATCCTCTATACTATTCCACTGATCTATATATCTATACTGTTTTGATTACTTGAGCTTTACAGTAAGTCTTGAAATCAGGCATTTAATATTTTTGTTGCTACTGAAAATAGGATTTTTAAAATTTCAACTTCCAGTTGTTGTTACTATACAGAAACCCAACTGATTTTTGTATATTGATCTTA